TGAATTGTGGAAAGACTGCATGTACATGCATATGCCCTTTACTCTTGTTAAAACTAGTTTTGCAGATGTGCCTGTCAGCGTAGGAGAAACTTGTTAGTTTGAGAGGTTTAGTGGGACAAAGAATTGAACAAAACTTCTGTGTTGATCTTTTGTTCTTTGCCTAGGTAGAAACCTCTAAAAAACCTTCACAACCCTGCGAGCTCTGCTGGCAAAGCCTGTCAATTTGTAACCTGGGTATACTCGGTCGTTCTGAAGTGTTTATCCCTTTCAGTTATTTAAATATGCCAACAAATGTTTGGAGGACAGAAAATTCATACCCCTAGTGATATTAAAAAATTACACTGGTGAAATCAAGCGTGTCAAAGTTAGGAACTCTCAAATGAAAGCTTTTCTCCGTGTCAGTTCAACAGGTCAGCTGTATCTCAAGAAAAGGTCTGCTGGTGACTTGGGTTTCTGTCCCTTCTTAATCACAACTATTTATTCCCCCCCCTCCTCTATCCCTAGTTAGACACACCAACTTCTTTTCCATGACCTCTTGGGAGTTGGCTTTTATAGTGGTAGGGAATGGCTTGGTACCATCTTATTCCCCAGCTTCCTGAGAAGTGTCACAGTTAATGAGTGAAGAAAGGTGATAGTGGTCTTTCAGGTGTTCCTGTGGGCAGCAGAGGACCGACCCACTGTGCAGCAGATCAGCAGGATTTACAGAGGGTCTCCACAATGTTTGCAAGTGGCTGGACTCAAAAGTGATGCTTGCTGCAGAATGATCCGAGGGCTGGAGCACCTCTCCTGTGAAGACAGGCTGAAAGAGTTGGGGCTGTTCAGCCTGAAAAAGAGAAGGCTCTGGGGAGATCTTATAGCGGCCTCCCAGTACCTGAAGGGGCCTACAAGAAAGCTGGAGAGGGACTTTTCATAAGGGCAGTTAATGACAAGACAAGGGGAAATGGGTTTAAACTGAAAGAGGGGAGGTTTAGATTAGATATTAGGAAGAAGTTCTTCACTGTGAGGGTGGTCAGACGCTGGAACAGGTTGCCCAAGGAAGTTGTAGATGCCCCCTCCCTGGAAGTGTTTAAGGCCAGGATGGATGAGGGTTTGAGCAACCTGGTCCAGTGGAAGGTGTCCCTGCTGATGGCAGGGGGGCTGGAACTAGATGATCTTTAAGGTCCCTTCCAATCCTAACTATTCTATGATTCTATGTGACACCTCGTAACTTTGCAGCTGTGGTGGTCTTGGTGTGGAAACCAAACTGTATGACCCAGAGTGCACACTGCAGCTGGACTTGGCTCATGCCCTTCCTCTTGGGTAGATGTTGGACTGAGCTGGTTACAGAGTGTGCAGCAGGTAGGTGATGGGAAGCTCGCTCTCTGGGTGGGTGGTTGTACGGAGATCCTTGCAGCCTTCCTTTGTGAGACAGCAGATGGCAGCATCCCCTTCTGCATCTTCAAGAACTCAGGGCTGAGTTTTCTTAGGCCCTACTGTTTTGCCTCTGTGCTAATGTGATGGTCTCTCTTGGCCTCTTCCTCAGGTGTGCATCACAAAGAGATTTTTCAGATCATTTATTGTATTTGTTTGATAATTTACTCCTACAAACAGTCACTGGGAAGCTGCAGGGGCTCAGTTTCTGCAGTTCCTGGTTTCCTATTGCTCTTTCAGCTGCTGATGTGACTAGCAAAGACCTGGGCTGTTCCTTAATTCCATTGCCATGAGGTTAACCCTTTCTGCAAAGTTGTGCTCCACAGATAAGGTTAAGGCCAAATGCTCCAATCAAATGCCTGATGTCAGACACTTAAATCCAAGCATGGGGTTTAAGTGTTTCTGGCGCTGTTCTCAGACATTTTTCTTCATGTCAACAAATAAAAAATTTGTAGCTGTCTGCCAACTATTAAAAAAGAAAACAAGCTCTTTTTTTTTCTTTTAGTGGACAACTATTAAGTATAGGAGCTTTATTGCAGGAGCTGAGATTACTTGTAGAATCTTGCTACAGACCTCCTAGGTTTAATACAGGGCAGTACAGACTAGACCAGACATTACTAATTTAGATGTACTCTGTATAACGTGTGCTTAAAGCTCTGTCATCTCTACTGTAGCAGCTGCCTGCTTCTGTTCACAAGAAAGGGCTGTCACCCTACTGGACCTCTTCTCCAGAAACACAGCTCTCAGCCCCATTTCTCTGGTGAAATGGGTTGTAGAAGAGATGAAGATTAGTTTCTTACGGTTCTCTCCCTGCTCGCTCTAATGGCATCTACAAAAGATGAAGTCTCCAAGTGATGGGGGTTTTTTGTTGTTTTAGTTTTTTGGTTTGTTTTTTTTTTTCCTTAAGAGCTTGTTTATAGGTGATGTCCTGCTCATGGCACTGTTGCTTCTTCCAGGGTTGAGATGCAGAAGATGAGAGTGGTGAGGCCATCTGCTGATGTAGCCAGGTACACAATGATCTTCCACAAACGAGACCATGGTAACGAGGAAAATGGAGAGAGGTGAGTCAAGAACAGGGTTCCACCTTGCAGTGTCTTAGTACGTGGCTAGGAGCCAGGTACCTGGGGGTCAAGCTCTTTGCTGTAGGTCACATAGGCATTTTGTGGTACCCAGAGGCTCTGGGGGACACCCCTGTGACACCACTGCTCACAGCTGGCAGCTGTTCTTTGCATGAGATCTGCCTGGAATTGACCAGGTGATGTTCATGAGAACTTCCAAAGTTATCGTTACATGGGTATGATTTGAGCATATGATTTCAGAGATTAAATGACTTAAACTTCCTCCTCCCCAAACCAAAGGACTTTTTTTTCCCATGTCTGATTGTCCATGCTGAGGACAGGAAAAGCATGATGTTACAATAGACAGAATGCCTCCAAAGTTTACGAGTAGTGGGAAAGAGCTCAAAACTCTTCTCCTGTGCATGTCACTGAAGATTTTCTCCTCTTTGTCCTCAGGATGAAGCTTCTACGTCAGGTGTCTAGAACGTGGAAAACAGATGGGCTGAACTCTTGTTCATATAAACTGCTCTCAGTGGACCATAACCCTTTATATGTCAACATCACGGTGGATTTCAGCGTGCAGCCCAAGATCTCATAAGGGCCAGCACCACACAGGTTATAGGAAACGGCACCAGATCGTCTTTGTGGTGGCTGCTACAGCAGATGGCTCCCGGCACTCTGCTGCAAACGGTACTTCTGTAGTGCAGAGGAAAGTTTTTCTTCACAGCATCTAATTGATCGGTTGAGAATTTCCTTTTGTGAGGACTGGAGATAGGGACTGACCCGAGGGACAGGTCCTCGTGTTCCTTCTATGCACTTTCTGCCGGGACATTTGCAAAAGTGTCCTTGTTTGGGCTGGTCCGGTGAAAGGACTTGAACTAGGTCTCCTGATAAAGATTTCATTCTTGCAGCTGTTCCTAAACTTCTCACTTGTTGCAGGGGAAAGGCGGCCCAGCACTGCCGTGACTTCAAAAGGAACAGGCCAGTCTTTTCTCATCAAAAGCACAAGAATTCTTCATCAACTACACAGTTGCTGAGAAAAGCTATTTTTCAAAAAAAAAAACCCCAAAAAACCCAACAAAAAAACCCTGCTTATGTGTGAGGGAAGGGCAATAATGGTAATAGGGGAGGAGATGTTAAAAATCTCTCAATAAATACACTCCAATGAATTCAAAAGGCTTCTCTTGTCCTTCCTGAGCTCAGCTCACCCTGCTGTGGGGCGGCAAAATGCAAGTCTCTGTTCTGCAGCTGGCTCTGTGTTATTCCCAAAAGATCTGGAAGGAAATGCAGTGGCCAACTACGGCAGCTGGAGAGAAACTGCTGCCCATATTTTTTAATGTTAGCAGTGTGTATTTGCTTACATACCCAGCCCATTGTTATCTGTGATTCTTGTTTTAGAAGGCTGGTGAAAGTCTGTGGTTAACTGACTGGTCCTGGTATGCTGCAGGATTGCTGCTGAAATCCTGATCAGAGCACTTCCCTTTCCTTACTGCACTGTACCTAACTGCCCTTGGGCCTGCCTGCTGGAGATGCATCCCTTGGCAGGAGATGTGAAGCTGGGGTTGGGAGAGTTTCTTTTAGCACAGAAGATATTAAGAATTACATGACAAAAAGCAACTTCTGCTTACTGTAATACTGCAGAGTGGTTCTCTAGCTGGTTGATTCATTATTCTGACTGTAGAGAGGCTGAAGTTTTAAATACTTAGATGTTAGTGGGATAGATGCAGCTTTTCAGCGAACAGGGAGTTTTAATATCTACAGGTAACAAGTAAAAATACCCTGTGTCACACTTACACCATAGCTGGAGCTGGTCGGCAGAGCTACTGCCTGGCTTTGAGGAGACAGGAAGACTACAGAAAGGGCACGGTCTTGGCCATGGTTGACATGTTTGACTGAGTTGTTCCTCGAGTATTTAATTTCTCAGAAGTACACTTATGTTGAAGACAGATCAGCCTTGAAAGATAATTAATGTTTGAGCAACAGCTGAAATACTAGAATAACATCACTACTCTGAGCAGGAGGTGAGACCAGGTGACAGCCTCAGGTCCTGTTCAGCCTGAATTACTTCCAGCTACAACAGAAACATTTAACTTCTGATGGATCAGGCCAGAAAAACACAAAGACTTCAGCTCTGGTTTCAGGGCAACTTCCTCCTTTATTACACTCTTATTAAATATTCTAGAAAGTCTTAACCCAAACACATAATTTATTTTACTCAAATTCACAAAAGATATCCACAAAACTGTAACTGGTTGCAACATTTTTTTTCCAAAATACAGCACTTCAGAGGCTCACCTGCCAGAATGGCGTGTATCCCAGTTCCCACTGAAGTACAAAGCAGGACAGAGCTATCCAGCTATGCAACCAAGGTTCTGGAAAACTTGGGTCACCTTATGGTCAGGGAGACCTTGCTCCCCAAGGCCTGAGGGCTGGGTCTGGCTCAGCAGTGAGTTGTTTTCACAGTCTATGCCCCAGCCTGTTTATTAGCTATCATACCCCTTCCTGAAGCCTCTGCTTCTAAATCTTAAACAGTCAAAAGAAAAGTGAAATGTGTGAAAAACAAGGATTAGTCTCAGGTGGTGCAGATTCCGCACCACAAGAGGAGGTAGAGGCTGAATGCCCACGTGCATGCTGCCATGCTGAGCCCAAACTCTGCTCTTGTTTTCATTCTTTTAAGAAAATGGGGGAACATATCCAATGTCCACAGTGATGTTGGTATAAAGAGGATGCTTTGTCCTGGAAAGGAGCTTGAACTCTAATGAATTCATTCCATCGTCCTTCCACGTTTTTCTGGTGTTGTGTCGGGAAGTAGGCCTGAGGAAGGAAGAATACCTGCAGTTAGACAGAAGAACAAAGGTCATGTTTGCAGCTGAAGCTGCAGAAAAAAGTCTTCCAGAGGGGGCAAGGGCTTAGCAGATGAAAGCTGCTAGCAGAAAAGCCCCAAGAAAATTCTTCTCACATAGTACAGACTAGAGAGAAAAGCTGGTTTATAAGACTAAACAGCTTAGAACAAGTTCACCCTGAGTATTCTAAACAAGGAGGACAATTTGGACTGGAACCTGATCAGACAGGGGAGCCAGTGAGGTGGCAACTACAGTCTGCAAAACCAACAGGAAACTGGCAGCAGCTTAGAGAGACCTGGGAGCACAACCCCGAGGCTCACAGCAGCTGCCTACATCAGCTGCTGGAGGTTGGTTTTAAGACAGGGTTGTTATGGAAACCCGAGTTTTGAGATGACAGAGAGAAGTCTGCACTGTTAGCGTGAGAAGCCTCCACCACACTTGACCCAACACCCTTCTCCACCTCTTTTCTTATAAAACTGGGTCTTTGCTGAGGTCTCTCATAGCACCTTCCTCAGGTCTTCAAACTAGAATTCTGCTTTCCACTGTTGTGATGAGACACTGTAAACCCACAGAGCTGCACAGCACGTCTGCATTATAGGGAATTTATTACAAAGTGCCTCTTCAAACTGACTCCCTACTCACAAGACAGGCAGTATTGTTTTTAAAAAAGTTTTATTCCCTGAATAGTTTGATGCTTCCCAGCTAGCACGTGTCCTTAACAATAGGGAAAAAGAGGAAACTAGGAGAAGCCCTTCAAAGGCAGAGGCAGGAGCAGTATTACTTAGTTGAAACTGCACGGGAGCCTTCTTTAAATAACCACATTAAAGCAGAAAGACAAGCAGTGTCACTGGGGGTACTTGCTGCCTGTTCTGAGGAAGATGATGGTAACAGTCAACCTGCCACAAGGCCAAGTATGCCCTCCTAACTGCCCCCTCCCCCAACAGTTACCTTCTCCAAGGCTCTTGTGGCTCTGTCTCTTCATTGTAGTCCATCACTTTGTAGCGTCCAAGGTGAGGTGATGTCCGGAGTATTTTCATCCCTGCTAACTGAATCCTTTAAAACAATAAAGTGTTTGCTTAGGCTCAAAGTCAGAGACGATTTTCAGTGTTAATGCAATCAAAGCAAAATGCAGAAGCTGAAGGGAGCAAGTTTAAGGCCACAGTATCTTCTCCAGCAGGTTCTAACCAGGCTTGGGCTAGAAAGCTCCCAGCTGCAGTGCCCTTCCACAGGGTACAAAGGGGATTAGAGCAAGCAGGGAATGAACAACAGCACGCACAGCATTCAAGAGCAATCCCCATCAATCTGACAACTGAGCATTATTTTCACTTCCTTGCAAGAGCAGAACTTTTGCTGCCTGGAGGTCCATCGCCTAAACTTTTTTTTTTTTTTAAAAAAACCAAACTCCACACTCACAGTTTCTGAAAGGAAGCCAGTTCTGAGTTTCAGATCCCGATTAAGCCTCCCTCTGTTCTTTGAGAAATGCCATCTGAATGAATGGCTTCATAAAAGATTAGTGACAAATACAGGCACCAGACAAACAAATGCGAGCTGCTCAGCTGCAGGACAGTTAGGTAAGAAACAAGTGAACTGAAGGCTCAGAATTCCAGAAGAAAAGCAGTATTTTGGGTATCTTGGAAGCAACCCACTGCTGATGGCACCTACGTTAGTTTCCCAATAAAAAAGTGCCAGTAATAGCGCGAGGGCTGGCAAACCTCCGCTACCACAGGGCAGCTCTTGTGCAGAGACAATTCCTGCAACTGTAGGAATGAATGTTTGCTCAGGTGAGGTTATCTGTTATCTGGCTGGCATGTCCGATTGCTTTCTGTTAAGATCTGGTACAGCAGCAAGCTGCTGCGCTGAAG